TGAGCCAGCACCTGGGTGTGCCACCAGTCCCCCTACCCCCCAGGTTCGGCATTTGTCGTGCGAGCGGAATCCCAATAGCTCCTGTTAGCCCAGGGCACCCCCAACCTGGCCCGTTAAGGGGGCACCGTATTTCCTCTGATAATGTAATTATAACCATTGGACGTTTGCGTAATGCAGCCTCTTAGATTGCAAACTGATATGTTTACTTTTTGGTCGGTTTCTTTTCTCGAATTGCGTGAGAGGCAGGCATTTTTCTGCCCGGAAGTGTCATTGGGTTATCATCAGAGCATTTTTGAATTCTGCCAAAACACCCGTTGCGTCCTTGGGTCTCAAAGGTGTCCCAAACGCCTGTAGGATGATTGAACGGCCATGCAAAGTGCAACCTCGTTCGGCTGCCTGAGTCATTGTTTTCTTTTGTATTGTAATATCTCTTCGCACTCTTACTTTCTTCCCCACCGTCGGCCTTCCTATCCAGTTTCACGGCCGCTTGTCTTCTTCCTTTCAGATTACTGAAGATGGGGAAAACCAACGTAAAGCATAAATCGGCAAAGTCCGGACGAAAAGGGCTTCCCGGGGTTTGCGCTAACACATCCACCGCCTCTTCCTCCGCCCTGTCGTCTGCCGCCCTAAAGCATCTCAGTCCGAAAGAATTATGTCAAAAGGTTCCAGTCGCTTTCAACACTTTTGTACTTTTTTAAGTGGCGAGTATTAATCGGGGTCGACTGATTTCCGCTGTGTCACGCTTTAGGCTGTGAAGGCTACCAACGAGTTTGAGCCGCAGCAGGCGCTGAACTGCTACAAGGCTGCACTAGCCAAACTGGATTCTCAGTCTCCTGCCGGCGCTGCCACAGCCAGCGGTGACTTCGGAGCCTCTGAACAGCTTTCAATGGCCCTACAGTGTCTCCAGTCATCTGCCTTCATCCTCCTGGAATTGGGCAGGGTTGAGGAGGCCCAAAAGGTTAGTTTTTATGCAGCGTACTCTGCAATCTCCCCCAACTTAGTGGTAAAGGTCCATGCAAACTTCCGAATCCTTACCTGTAAGATAGCATATATAGCTACAAGCATGCTACTCGCTTGATGTCAGTAGACCTTTTATTTCCATAGTGAACATGTAGTTAACGTGTTTGTTGTATGCTATGCTATTTCGCAAACACTTCACCTTTTTTTTAACTATTTGTATTTCATAAATATTTTCATGCATTTTTGCATACCAAGGTGACCTATGCCATGTTCTGCATCTTCACGCCTTTTATGCATTCCCGTACTGCTTCCATGGGGTTTTGAAGGACCTCTGTCATTTGCTCCAAATGTACTGACTCAGTGTGGTTCCTCGGTTTTTCTCGGGGGTGCCCTTCTCTTCCTTTTTCATGCGCTCTCCTCTTCCTCCCCCCTCCCCCTACGCGCAGCTTCTAAACCGAGCCGTCTCGCTTTCGCCAGATGAGGGTTATGAGAAGTACATGTACCTGGCCCAGTTATCGGAGGAGAAAGACGCCGTCGAACTCTACCTGCGTGGCATTTCGGTTGTTAACGCGGCGATGGAGGTATTTTTTTCTCTTTCTCTCTCTGCTGCTTCACAAGAATCTTCTTTCATTTTATCCGGAGCTGTTCTTAAACTGTTTGTTTTTATGTGACTTACAATCTTACCTTAATGCCTTCCGAAGACCCTGCCAGGCAGTGTCCAGATACAGTCATTACAAAAGCCCGTTTCAAGTTCATTGACACTCATCAGTCAGTTTGTTGGTTTACTTTTATTCAAGGGGGAGGGAGCGGGCAGGTCACCGTGCTTGCTTCTACGCTTCCAGGAGCACGCCGGGTGGGGGGGGGATAGTTCAAC